CATAAGAAGGGATCTCATCCACAATAGCAACCAACCCCACAGACTAACCAGGAATAAACCTAGCAAACAATGTATGAGATGTATGTATTTAAAAAACAACAACTCTTCAATGTTACTGAAAAGAATAAGGGAATACCTACATAAATGGAGAGACACACCATGTTTATAAAACATACTAAAGATGTCACTTCTTCCCAAATTAATCTATAAACTCGGTCTCAAAAATTGGAGGCAATCTTTATAGGCTTTGACAGGCAGATTCCAAAGTTCATGTGGGAGAGAAAATGGGCTGAAAAAGTCAAGAAAACCTTAACATAGAACAACAGAGGACTATCTCTACCAGGCATAGAAATATAATGTGAATCCTAGTAATGAAAGTAGTGTGGCATTGGTGCAGAAAGAGACAAACAGAGCAATGGGGCAATAAACAGAGACTAGAAACAGACTAGGTATATATGGGGATTTATTTATTTATTTATTTATTTATTTATTTATTTATTTTTATATGGGGATTTATTTTATGAAAAAGAGCATTTGAAATCAGTGGAGAAATAATGGCAACTTAAGAATGATATTGGAAATATTACTATTTAATCAGAGAAAAGTAAACCACCACCAAATACTTTACAGAAACCTAAACTAAAACAAATGGATTAAGGAAGTACATGTTAAAAAATAATCTATAATATTATTCAAACTGCCCAATAAACATATGCAAAGATGCTCAACTTCACCAAGAATCTGAAGTGAAAATTAAAAATGACTATGAAGTACCATTAAAAAAACTTATCTGATAAAATAAAAAAATAAATGGTGCTATCTGGGGTTGGCAAGGGTAAAGAGAAATGAACACTGTTGGGAGGACAGTAAATTATTGAAAGTTATTTGGAAGTTAGCTGGGCAATAATATCTGTCAAAATAACAAAACGAAGTGCATGCTTTTTTGATCAAGTAATTCCACCTCTGAGGAAATGGGCAAAGAGCTATACACAGAAAATTCATTTGTAATATATATCCTAAGGAAATGGGCAAAGAGCTATACACAAGAAAATTCATTTGTAATAATGAAAAGCTACATAAGCCTGTAGGTCCATCAGGAAAAGGGTAGTTAAATACCATGAAATGATGTTCAGACCATGGAATTTTGCAGGTAGGCTATAAAGTCTGCAAACATAGATTAGAGTCATTTTGTCATATACTAAATATAATAATACTAGTAATTACCTATTATGTTTCCAAATTTGGTGGTGTGTGGAGAATTAGGAATGAGGTATACCAACATGTAGTAAGGTGAACATGATGGAGGTAAAAACACCAATTGTACTGCTCCATCCTATTTCTACAGAGATGTGTGTGTCTCCACAATGTATGCACAGTCAAGGGGAGGCCTAGTCGGGTGCACACTGGGTTGTTTGTTTGCATTCCTACTTCTCTCTTTCTTTTATTGGACTTATTACAAAGTTTGTGGTAATAACAACAACCATGTGCCAAATTTTTGCTGTCTATAAGCATACTATGGATAGGCGGTCACTAATCCCCAGGGTCCTGGCCAGTGTATCTGGCTCTGAGCCAAGCTAGTCTGACCCTTGGTAAGAGGCTGCAGCGTATAACCTGATAATGGAAATACTGGGATTCATGCCCAGAGGATGCCAATACACACACACACACACACACACACACACACACACACACACACACACGCCCTCTCATTTGTTTACATAGCATTCCACATGAATTGAGCGATATACATGTGCACACTCCCATGCACACCTGCACACGTGTATAGACAGACTCACACTCACATGTAAATTCTCTTTCACTTATTCACATGTATTTGTATGTATATTCACATGCACATGCACAGACACACACATAAATGCTGCCTCATGCTGATGCATACTTCACTATGTGCTCACATATTTGCAAATATCCACACACAATTACATAACGAAAATAGTACCATTCATGTTCACTCACTCTTAAATCCTTTCTCATATTTTTACATATATACATACACAGATACATGCACATTCATACTTATACATAGTCACATGTACATTTATAACCAGAAATACACATACTTATTCCTATGCATGGCCATACACATTTCCCTTTGAGATTACATGTGCAAATACATTCAACCAGCATATACATATGCACATGCCTATGTGTACATTTGTACAAACACCCCCACAATACACTCATGTGCATGCATACTACTCAGACACATAGAGGCTGAAGTGCACACTCATAGTATGCGTGTCCAGACAAGCTGGTGGTTCCTGGAAGGTTCTAGCTCCAGATCTTGCTCTTGGAGACTCCAGAGGGAGACTCTCAATAAGGAGCCCCTTCCCACCTCTCCCTCATTCACTCCTGTTCCAACTTCTTTCTTTGTCTTGCTGTTTAGACTTAAAGAGAGTCCCTGGAAAGGTCAGGTGAAGGACAGGCAGCCTCAGCCCTCTGCTGGTCTGGAATGGATCAAGACCTTTGCTGCTTTGCTGGTTGCCTGTCCCTGCTCTCAGGTCTGGTGAACAAGGCCAGGCCCTGGGAAGCAGACAGTCAAGCTTTGGGACGCCAGCTGTTTATAGAGCTGCTGGCACTCCTGCTGCTCCTGCAGAGCAGACACAACCTGGGGAGGTCCTGGCACAGGATATGTCCACATTACCGGGGATCCAGAGTGCACAACCTGCTCTTCACGTGATTGGAGAGGTAGAGCCATGGCCTGAAACTGGGACTAAACATGTCTGTTCAATAAGTTTCCTTTCGGCCTTGGCCTATTTGGCTTAGGGGATAGAGCGTCGGCCCATGGACTGAAGGGTCCCTGGTTAGATACCGGTCCAGGGCACATACCTTGGTTGCAGGCTTGATCTCTGGTCCTGGTAGGGGTGCGTGAAGGAGGCAGCCAATATTTGTGTCCCTCTCACATTGATGTTTCTCTTTCTGTCTCTCCTCCTTCCTTTCACTCTCTTTAAAAATCAATGAAAAAATATCCTCAGGTGAGGATTTTTAAAAAAAGTTTCAGCTCTAACTCTCTATGACCAAACCTTTCTGATCCTCAGTTTCCTTATCTGTAAAATGGAAATAACATTTCCTGCCTCAGGGGGGCTGTTGTGAGTCTAAAGGAGAGGGAATGTGCAGAAGTACTCCGCATTCTCCTAGCACACAGCGGCGTTTAATGTGTGGTTGTTGCTGTTGTATTCGGAGTGATAAGGAAAGAGGTTCGAAAGGGAAAGTGGCCCACATGGTTTGGTTGGTGGGAGCTGGGGGAAAAAGAGCTGAAGGGAGGGTCACCCTTGGCTGCTGCAGAGAGTACCCATTTCATGCTCTGTGACCTCGTGACCTTGCTCAAGTGATGTCACCACTAGTCATCAGATTCCCTTTCTGTAAAACAAAGAACTGACTTAGACGGTTTCTTAAGTTTTTTTTTTTTTTTTTGCTAGTTCTGAGATTTTTAGACCCCCCCCACCCCAAATTGTCTACAAAGCAAATGAAATACATATAGATCATTAAGAACCAGTATGGGGAAAATGGCAGTACTGTGAATGTGCAAACTGGAGAATGGCAAACCTTCCTAATTTGGATTAACTTTAATAAGTAAGGGGAACCTGTGACCTGGGACCTCTCCCGAGGAAGCACTTCATTGCCAATCCTGCATTTCCTGTCTAAGATCATTTATCTCCCGTCAGGGGGCTTTGTTAGTTATCTCCCTTATAAAAGTTGAGATCTCTTTGCAGTAATATGAACAAGACTCATTGGAAGCCTGAAGTAGCCTAGTCACAGGTGGATGTCCAGAATGGGTGCTTTAGAGGAGTTTATGGAAGAATCGTATATAGTACTTGGTGACTGGCTTTTCTTATCTTGCTCATAAAGAGGTGACTTTATTTTAATCCTCAACTAAAGATATATTTATTGATTTTATTTTTCCATTGATTTTTCAAGAGAGTGGAAAGGAGGGACACACACACACACACACACAGAGAGAGAGAGAGAGAGAGAGAGAGAGAGAGAGAGAAGAAAGAGGAGAGAGAAACATCAACGTGAGACAGACACATCAATTGGTTGCCTCCTGCACGCACTCCAACCAGGGCTGGGATTGAGCCTGATACCCAGGTACATGCCCTTGACCAGAATCAAACCTGACACCCTTAAGTCCTTGGGTTGATGCTCTATACACAGAGTCAAACTGGCTAGGGCTATTTATTGATTTTAGAAAGAGAGGAAGGAAGAGAGAGAGAGAAACATTGATGTGGGACAACACTCCAACCAACTAAGCCACTAGCCAGGGCATAAAAAGATGACTATAAATGGCCTTTGCTATTTTCTCACAAGTTAAATCACTGTCTTCAAAACAAGCACAATGGATTATTTTTGTTTTCAAGGACTGAGAAAAAATTTAAAGTATCATTGTACCTATTTATAGTTATTAATGTAACATTTACTCCTTGTAGAAATTTGAAAAATATAGAAATGCTTAAAGAAGAAAATAAAATTATCCATCAATCTATAATACAGGGATAATTGCTTTTAACATTTTAGTATTTTTACTTATAGCTTTTTTTAAATCTAGTATAATTTATTTTAAACTTTCTACTATGGGACTTTTTCAGTACATACAAAAGTAGAGAGTAGAGTAGAATCAACCCAACATATCCATTTCAGCTTCTATACCCAGTCCTTTGCTATTCCGCAGTTGCACTTGAACATTACAAGTAGGTCTTTATGTTTTTATCTAAAACTTTAGCCCATTGCTATGATGTTGTTTTTGCAATCCTGGGTGTTTGGCATGTGCAGGCCCTGCTGGCTCTTTGGCCATTTTCAGGTATATGTGCTCACCTAAAACATGGCATAGGGCAGTAAAAATGTTCAGTTGCTATACCGCCGGAAACCCGCAAGCATACCAGATTCCCCACCTCCTTGGGAAGCCCAATGCAGAGTGGAACTATTTCAGGGAGAGAGAGATGCCCCACAGGAAATGGAAGCTTGTGTTTTGACTCACTCACCATAGTTGTCTCAGCAATGGAACCAAAGCTGTTGATGAAAATGTTGCAGCTCACATTCACCGGGGGACCTGCCAATCAAGAGAGATGCCTGCTTTAGCTCCATAGTCATAAAGAAACCCACAGGACAGGACCCGTGCCTGAAACACTGACCTCAGGGATGGACACCTCTTGGTGAGGTGCCCCTTGCTGTTCTCCAGCCTACCCCCAGCATCTGGGACTCCCAGCCACACCGCTCTGCCAGAGTCCCTGGCCTCCGAGTGAGCATCAGGTACAGAGTACCAGCATCTGAGCTGGGATGTACTTTCATTAACACAGGATGATTCACCTTCCTGCCATATGGTTGAAATCCCTTCCCCAAACCCCACCGGCCGCCTTCTAATTTGTGGCTGAGATGTATTTGCGGCTACAACATTTGGAGGCCATCTTGGGAATCACAAGGAACAGTGAGTTACTTGCCTTGAACTTATGAACCAAGAATGATTGCCTGAAAGGCGTTGATGGGAATTACCAGCTGAGAAATCCAGAGGGAACCTCAAGGGAAGTTCATAAGTCTTTGTTAAATACTTTCTAGGCAGGCTTTTTGAATCCTGCTGCAAAAGACAGGAGAGAAGTGGAGGAATATTTGCTTTTTGAAATCATATTGCTAGAGGGACCTCTGTCTAGTTGAAGCTAAATATCTTAATTTTATGCTATTAATTATAGCACTTAGCATTTATTGAGCATTACAGGTTTTGCTGCTGGGCTGGTTTTACTAACATGGATCTTCTTCTATCCTCTCAGTAACTCCATGAGAAGGCATGGTTATTACCTCCATTTTACAGATAAGTAAACAGAGGCTAAGAGTTAGTAAATGGACAACTCAGAGCTTGAATTCAGACTTTGTCTAATTCCAAAGCAAATGGTCTTAAAGGCTGTACTTGTAAAAATGAGATTGAGAGAAAAGAAGTGGCATGCTCAAGGTCACATAGTGGGAGAATCCAGGATTTTAAGCACTGAGCATCCACATGAGCTGACAAGAGGGCCAGCCTAAATAACCAGAAAGAAATGTGAGACCATGGGTAAGTGTGACATAAGCAGTAGGATCCTGGGTACAATAGAAGTTCTGGCCCTAACCAATTTGGCTCAGTGGATAGAGTGTCAGCCTGCTGACTGAAGGGTCCCAGGTTTGATTCTGGCCAAGGGCATATGCCTGGGTTGTGGGCTCAGTCTCCAGTAGGGGGCATGCAGGAGGCAGCCGGTCAATGATTCTTTCTCATTATTGGTGTTTCTATATCTCTCTCTCTTTCTTCCTCTCTGAAATCAATAAAGATATATACATATATATATATATATATATATATATATATATATATATATATATGTTCTGGAGACTGCAGTATTAGGGAAGATTTCATGGAGGTGATGACCTTGAGCTCATCTTGAAGGTGGGTAAGACTTAGATTATAGGTCATAATCCTGCACATGAAGATTGCAATGTGCAATCTGTGAAATTTGCAGGTCCACTTTCTTGTTGCTCCCCAGGAGGGCCTGGGGTAGGCAAGGCAAACTTACAGTCCCTGCTGTTCAGGTGGAGCACAGAGAGTCTTAGCATCACACTTGGGCTGATTTAGCCAGCAAGTGGTAGAGCCAAGACTTGATTGAACCCAAGTTTCTGATTGTGGAAAGAAGGAGGCAGATATCCTTGTGTCCTGTTACCATGTTTTCTCTGTCCCCCTTGAAAATGTAGCCCAAGTATTTCACCCAAGATCAACCATGATTTCCCTCTTTTCAGAAGTCTTGGTGTAGAGGGTGGGACTCAGTCTTATGGTGAGAATCCAGGGTTTTCCTCCAGGGGAGTGTGAGGATCCTGGGGGTTTTGGACACAGCTCCAGTGCTCATTGGCTGCTTCACCTCAGGCCAGCCCCTTCCTAGTTCTGGGTTGCAGTTTCCCCATCAATCTGGGAGAGTAGTTCCTTATCTGGGTAGTCACTCTGTGCCCCAGTGGTTTGGAATTCCCTATGGAAGCTAGTCATTCAACTTACAAGGTTATAAGATTTCAGGGCTGGGAGGTTTCTTAAAGGTCACCGGAACTGATGTGCAGCAGGCTGTTGGAAGTAGCATCACCAGGAGAACTAGTTAAACTGCAGATTCTTCAGCCCAACCCCAGACCCAGGGAAGCCAAATCTCTGGAGATTAGCCCAGAATCTATATTGTAATGAGCTCCCTGGGTGACTCTCATGCACAGCCAGGTTTAGGAACCTGCTATGCCAGCTACCCTCTCAAAGCTCAGAGCTTGAACACCTCCCGTAGTGGGAACTCATTTTGTCTTGAGTGGTCCGTTCCGTGGTGATAGCTCTGTCTGCTAAAAAATGTCTCTTATGCTGAGTGGACATCTGCCTCCTTGTCACTTCCACCTAAACAAAGGCCCATTAGATTTTTTTTTCTTCTCATTTAGACTCAGACCCAGGTTTTTCTTTCATTTAGCCTCATGCCATTAAGATGCCCCAAAGAGTTACTGCCTGTGCCTTGAATCACGTGCACAGATTTCCCACCCAGCCCCTGCAGTGTCTGGTGCTGTGATTCCCCTATAAAGTAGGTCCTGATTTATGTGTGCGAGAAGGCGCCTGCCCAGAGGACCCCATGGGGAGGTGAGAGTCATTGACATACATCTGAAATGAAATTATCCTCAAGAAAATTACAATCTGGCTGGCTTCGGCAGCAGGATAATGTATATATTTCATTAAATATTAAAGTTTAATTTTGCTTTTGTGTATGTGTTTGCATCAGGCTGTGCCCCTGATCCTGGGAACCATTGTCCAACACAGAGCCGTGGAGGAGATGCAGGCTATCAGAGCCGGAGGGGCCGTGGCTGCTGGATCATTTCACAGATGTGGAAACAGAGGCCCGCCAAGTGACTCACTCTGGGTCACACGCATCAGGTAAGTAGCAGGCGTCCTAGAACCCAGTATTCTCGCTCTTTTACTTCCTATTACAATTTTCATTGCCATTGTGTTCTGTGGACTGAGCCTGCTGTTCCATGTCTTCCCTGTCTTCAGGAGAGTCAGGAGCAGGCAACATTTCTGGTGCTTGAAAAAAACTGTGGAGCTGTTAATCATAGGGTTTTCAAACAATGCAGGCCTCTTCCTGATGTGTTGGGTTCACAGAGGCCTTCTCAGGAGCTCTGTAGTTTGTGTGGGGCTTTGGGGAATCTTATTGGTGTCTGGGTGGAAGTACAAAGGGACCGTGGGGGTCAGGGGCTGGAGATCCCCTCCTCATGCCAGTGTTTCAACCCTCAACACTAGGGAGAGAGAGAAACCTTGTTTCCAGCTCCAGCTTGGGTTCCGGGAAGCTGTACCTTGCTCAGAGCCCTACTCGAAGGGGACTGAAGGGGCTAGAGATGACACAGTGTCGGGAGATGAAGATGATCTAAGTCTGTAGATTTTTGGGTCCAAGTGTTAAGAGGAAGGTTTTCAGAGAGGGGAGAGGATGGACCCTGATTCATTGGGTGACATTTTTACTTCTTAAAGATGTTCACTGCTAAGTAAGTAAGCCAGTAAATAAAAGAAAAAATGACTAGCATTAGATAAAGAACTGAGTAAGAGTAGCTAGCTGGGTTAAAGTCCCAAAGCCTTGACAGCACGGCTCAAGAGTCATTTAACTGCTCTAAGCCTTAGTCTATTTGCTTGTTGATTGATTGATTGATTGATTGATTGATTCATTCATTCATTCATTCATTCACAAAAGGTTTATTGAGGGCCTTTTATGTGCCAGGTACAAAGGATAGCTAACACCTGAACCCGGGATGCATGCACATTCAATAAAGGAGTCAGTCCCTCCTTTCTCAGAAGAGCAAGACCATGGCACTCAGTATGGAGTTCTGAGAGTGTCCACTAGGGAGCGTAGTGGACTGAAAGTCCTGAAAACTAGACACAGCCTGATGGTGGGTTCTCCAATGTGTTTGGTTTGGACAACGGCGTTTCTAAAATTTGCGACTTAGCTGTTTGTAAACTGGCTACCCACAAGGCATGTTTGGCTCACAACAAACATATTCTGTTTGAATGTACGTATTTTAGGAATCAGGGAACTTTGCATAAATCTCCATTTCTGACTCTTCTCGGAATACTGGGTGACCTGGCAACACGGGGCATACATTCCTGCTGGGTAACTGTGGGCTGGGGCTGAGGAGAGGCTGTCCCCTTTAAAGGGCTGCACCTCTCTTTCTCCATAGTCTCCACCACTCCCTATTGCCTTATTCCTGGCTCCCCTCACTCACTGAAATTACCTACTTAATTCCTGTAGGCATTTGAAATTGTGACTCCGGTTTAGACTAAAAAGTTCCAGAAATTATTTGTTAATCCCTGGGACCTTTCCAGGAGGTGAATTTCAGTTGGAAGCCTCTTATCTAAAAGAAGTAGATGCGGACCGCTCCGGGAGAAGGAGAGTGGTCTTGGTCATTGTGCTCTCTGCTCCTCCCTTTGGAAGGACATGGTGGGAGCCCCAGAGCTCCCACAGACAGACAGCTGCATTGCTACAGAGATGAGGAAACTGAGGCCCCGAGAGAGGAAGAGGGTTATCCGAGTTCAGAGAGTGAGTTTGTGCCTGAACCAAATGTGATCCCATTTCTTTACCTGCCAAGTTTACCTATCTGTCTGTTATACCAGAGGTAGCAGGTATATACAGACTCCTGGCAGCCAGAGGGCTGTTACGTCTGAGTGTGGTTTGTATGGGTGTGGTGGGGGAGCAGTCCGAACTGATTAATAGTGTCTGCCTAGGGCAGAGGGGAGGCCTGGGCTCCTGCCATGTCTGTACCATCCAATCCCATGCTGCTTGCTTCTGAATCCAGGAAAACAGGTGCGCGGGGATCTGGAAGGAAAGTTTTCTCTACCTTTAAAATTGGGCCTGATCCTGGCATCATATCCAGAGGTTCTCCCCATGAGCTTATCCAGGAAGTCCGAGGGAGACATGGACTTGGGCGCTGAGCGAGCGGCATCAACCTCCTTAGAAGCAGCAAGGCTAAGAAAGGAGAGAGGAGAGCAGAGGGTTAACGATGGCCCTTTCTCATGCTGGGTCAGATCCTAGATTGACACACCCCTTGTTTACTCGAGAAATAGGTTATACGGGTCCTTAATGAGGGAAGGCCCAGGCTAAATTGTTTATCTAGCCCAAATATCAGCCGGTGTGGGATCCTGGCAGGCAGCCGAGTGTCTGACCGCTGCTGAGACGCTGCAGCCTCTTCTAAGACTGCAGGCCTGGGGATTAGAGCAATCACACTTGGCTGCAGGTCTTCCCAGGAGAGAGGAGAGGAGATTGAAGGGCTAACCTCCCAGTAGGCCCAACCCTGTGTTTTGGGTGCCTGCATGACACCTCCCCTTTCCCCCAGGGGTTCATGGAACAGCGAAAGAATCTTAGAGATCAAGCAGTCCCAAATTTCCCCAAAGTTTCTTTTCAGAATCGGTCACCAAATGAAAAAAAAAAGGAAAGTTGCCCAAGTCAAGTGCATTTGGGAACACAAATTAACCAGGCATCTTTACCCGAGGTCTTCTCAGAGCCTTTAACTAGCTTAGATATGGGACTAGTATCTCATGAAACACACACTTCAGAAAATCTCAGTTGGGAAAATGAAGGCACAGCTGGTGGAAGTGACCGACGTCCCCATTCCCACTCAACAAAATGCTTTTAGGCTCTTATTCATACCATAGCAAGAATTACTAAGGACAGTGGCCCCCCACCTGCCACTCTCAATCAGAGGCGCTCAGATTTCTAGAGGAGTCAAAATTGGCAGCCGCAGGGTTGGAGGATAACCATTTGTGCAACTGAGCTTTTCTAGTCTTGAAATGCCACCAGGAGACCCCAGGCTAGGCACCCTGTCTTGTGTGCCGAGAGGCTGGTACCTTGGAGGGAGTGCAGGCATAGAGACGTGTGCCTGTGTGTTGCCAACTAGGACATCAGCTCCCTGAAGATTTGCTCTCCACCCCTCTTGTTCATACCCGGCCCCTTTTCTGACCTCATCCATCCTGATTGTTTCAGTGAGTGCCTCTTACAGAGGACTCTCACATGGATGTCTCCATGCCAGCTTCTCGCTAGAGCCCCCTGTCCTCATCTGCAGACACCTGCAGGGCATGTCCATCCAGATGTCCTGTCTGTGCCTCCGGTTCCTCTCCCACCCTGAATGTCACAGCTTTCTTCCTAAACTTGCTTCTCTAGACCGCAGCGTCCCTGGAGGCCCCGATGGCTCCCCATCCTCTAGGCATGGAAGTGGCCCAGCCATCTTACTTCATTGCCCCCCTCTCCTCGCACAACCCTCGTTCAGCAGGTCCTGGCCATTCTACCTCACAGTATAGTTATTTGTGTTTGTGTCTTAAGATCAGGAGTCATGGTGCTTTTATTTAGTGTTTGTTTGTTCTTTTAATCTCCTACTGTGTCCACGATGATGTTTCAAACACATAATTGGTGCTCAGTAATTGCACAGTAAGTGAGTGACTGAATAATTTGCTACTTTAATCAAATATCCTGGCAAGTAGTGTATTTGTAAATTTGCATATGTGGATCAATAATTTTAAAATGATTAGACTATTATACCCATTAATAAAAAAAAACAAAACAACTGAAAGCAATGCTTGGTATTCCTTTGAAGATTCAGAAGGTATTCCAGCATGATGAAGACACTCTTGCTTAATAATCTGGAGGTCCCTTATTTATTGACTGAAGGGCTAGTTTTGATTGACAAGACAAATGCGTTTTACTGTTTTCATGTGTGTGACTATGAATATTTGTGACTTTGTGTGAAGCAGATAGGTTTTCAGGTGTGATGTGCATGCATCAGTTGTGTGGGTGAGGATGGATGGGTGGAGAGTAGAGTGTGCATGGGGTTGTTTGGGATGGATAGTGGATCCTGTTATATAGATTTGTATGTGCAAAAATGTGAATACCTGGGATCATGGTGAAGTATGCTGTTAAGTGTGACATTTAGTGTGGGCACATGTACATGGAGTGTAGGGTGTGAATGTATAATATGCCTTTGTGGATATATGTATGTGGTGTGTATATTACATAGGTTTGTTTCTCACATGCATTGTGAGATGTAAAATAGAATAGTGCAAAAAAGAGTGAAAAGTATGGGTGATTTGGAATCAGTGATGTCTCTTACTAGCTGTGTGATCTTGGGGAAGTTACTTAACCTCTCTGAACTTCAATTGCCTCATATGTCATTTTAGTTTTACACAAGGAGTAACTGAGGTAGCCTGGGGAAAAAACAATAGCACCAAGTTCTTGGAACAGAGCAGACATTCAGTATATTTATTGTCTTGCTCTTGACTTGCTGTGTGTATGATTGTGTGATAGTGTGTGTGTGTGTGTGTGTGTGTGTGTGTGTGTGTATGTGTTTGTCTTGCTCTTGACTTGCTGTGTGTATGATTGTGTGATAGTGTGTGTGTGTGTGTGTGTGTAAGTAGTTTGGAACTCATCTGGGGACTTCTTTGGGTCCCACTGCTTTCAGCTGCACCACGGACCCCATGTGGCTGGGAAGTCCTGCCAGGTACCTTCCACGGCCCACATTTCCAGCCTCTTCTTCATTCAGTACCAGACTCACAGCCGCTCTGTGGTTCTGGTGTGAGCAAAGGGGACCACAAGCAGGCAGCTGTTGATTTACGACTTTTCTGCGGCTATAATTCACTTCTAGAACCTCTCCAGGAGTGGCAGTTATGAAGCTTTCATAAGCTCCGGTTCTCTGTCCAGCCCCTCCTCTCAGATAATAAGATTTGAGAACATAGTACTCCCTCCCAGCAGTTACTAGAGCACAGGCGATCCCGTGGCCCTTAGGCCTCTTTCATAAGCCTGAATCCTATTAGGTGGCACAGCGAGAGAATGAATCCACCCCAAATTATCACTCACCATTCGCTATTAGCAAAATGTGCCATTTAATACCTGAATCTTCCCCAGGTACCTGAGCTTGAGTGTCTGCAAGGTACTTGCAGCCTGGACACCTGGTACTGACTCACTAAAAACCCTGGTGGGGCGAGCTGTATGTGCAAAACTGGAGGGGATGCAGACTCTGAGAAGTGGGGTGACTGGCCTCAGGTCACACAGCTCTTTAATGAGAGAAGGAATTAGAGCACAGATTCCCAGTGTTGACTCACCCAGTGCTACCATGCACAGGATAGCCTTTTATAAATAGTGAAGAGGATAAATCATGGTAGCGACCATTATTACTATTTGTTTTTGAAGCTTGTTATATTCTGTTACATCCAAGAAAACCAAAACATGTGTCTGACTTCCAGCAGTCCTATATACACAACTCTGGATTTATCACATCTAAAAATGGAGAAGTTTCTGTGAATTACCAAACGAGCCTCTGTTTTGCCAAGTGATTGACAGAAGTCTTTTGAAACCATGTACCAGTGGTTTCTAAATTGTCTGTTTCTTTTAAACCTACCGTTGTAAAAAAAGGGGACTTTATATTACACCACTCACAAATGAACAACTAGTATTACTTGGCATCATATAAATAGCTATGGTAGTGAATACAATGAAAACAAAAGAAGTTTAAAATTTGATGTAAATGCTGTTGATTGCCAACAGGACTACCCTAAGTCTCACAGGGAAACCATCAAGTGTTGGAAAGGTGTTAGAGATATATTAACACATAACTGAGATTTTCTCCTTGAGATAATGAGAACTGAAAGAAAACTGGTTCAGTAATAATTCACCGATACTGTGTGTGAACCACCTAAAATCCTTGCCCATCTCTTACTGCCCCGTCCGAAATGTCCCCAATTCTTTGTGAATCACAAAGACTTCGTTTTAAGGTCAAAATAGCCATACCCCTCCACTTGACAGTCATTGCACCTTTCTGTCTGTATTTAGCTACTGTGCACAGAATTAGTCAAGGTCCCTATTGTAAACCTGTGCTTTGTGCACCTGTGCAGAGTAAACAGGCATTAACGGGTCCTTGCTGCACAGTTGGAACCACTACCTGTGCTGAACGCAAACATCTGCTGACAGACTCAGCTATTGGACAGAGAAGCTGGGGATGGAGCTGAGCCATGAAACATGTGATTGTTAGGATCTGCTGACCCTGTACAAGTATTTGGAAGTGATGCAAATTGTTTCAGGGATTACTGCAATGCAATGTAGTGAATCAGACTTAGTTTAGACAGATTTGATTAATAGTAATTTCCAGAAAGACAGTGAGGTCTTCTGGGACCAAGTGTTCTGCCCCTTGCAGAGAAAGCTTATGATGGTGGCTGACTGGATGGAGGTAACTATCTATCACCATTCAGTTGGGGATTTATCACCCCTGGAAACTTAGGTACTTAAAAGGACCTCCGATTTAAAAAAAAAAAGTTTTTATTGATGAAAGAGAGAAAAACATGTATCAGCTGCCTCTTGCACGTCTCCTCCTGAGCATCAAGCTTGGAATCAGGCATATGCTCGAACCTGGAAATGAACTGGTGACCTTTTGGTGCATGGAATGATACTCAACCAACTGAACCACACCAGCCCAGCAAGGACCTCCTGTGTGACCTTCTGTGAGCCATTTCCCCTTTTGCTTTCAGTTTCCCAAGCTATAAAATGAGGGGTTTAGAATAATCTCTAAAAGTCCTACTGGCCCTAAATCATCATTTTATTAGTCTACAATATTCTTTCTTTTTTACACATCTGGTCTTGGGATTTGAATTTGTCAGAACTCCTTTGTGGGAATGTGAGCGTGTTAGCATCTTGATTCTTCTGCATCCAGTCTCAAGAGTTCTCCCCAGTGGACTAACTCATTTTTCAGGGATTTGTTGGAAGAAAGGCCAGATCAATGCTTAGATTCTCATTCTTCAGTTGCAACATCAGTTGGAAATAGGGAATCAATATGAAGCTGTCAATCTGAATTTCAAATGAGCTGGGGGTAGCAATGGCACTGGGATCACACCCTGCAGGGCACCACACCCCCAAGAACCACCTGGGTTAGCAGAGACGGTCCCTCCAGAAGATTCCATCTCTGCAGTTCACCATGGGCAGAGAAGTGA